CTTTGGAGGTCACATGGTTCTACTGACATTTTGATTTTAGACTTCTGCCTTCAGAACAGTAAGAGAATGAATCTGTTATTTCAAGGCAAAAAAAGAGAGAACATCTTAAACTAATCAAGTTTATGATTCTATAGTTATGATTCTATAGTTATCGTTGATGGATATTTTAAAATCTGCATTAGAAAACATTATCCCAGTGACTCGAGAAGCTGAGGCAAGAGGATCACAAGTTCAAGACCAGCCTCAGCAACTTAGTGACCCACTGTCTCAAAAAAATAAAAAGGGCTTGGGGATATGGCTTAGTGGTAAAGTACCCCTGAGTCAATCCCGATACCAAAAGAAAAAAAAAAAAGAAACATGATAGCAGCTCTATCAGGTACACTTACTTATTACCCCATTTTTCCCTCCATGCTGGAGATCAAACCCAAGGCTTAGTGCACATAGGCAGGTGCTCTGCCACTGAGCCACCCCCCTAACTCTAACCCCATTTTATAGCTGAGAAACTGAGGCTTAAGGAAGTTAAATAATTTGCTCAAGAGCATATTTAGTAAGCAGATAGGAGTCAAATTACAAAGCCTTGCAGTATGATGACACATTGCAATAGTTGTATTCCTTGTTCTCAAGTTAGAAACCAGTGAGGGTTTTCTCCACTTTAAACCCCAGCAACTCAGACCTGAGCCTCCATCACAGGAAAGGACAGCACTGCCAGAAAATCTTAAGACATGCCAGGCATGGTGGCTCTTGCTGTAATCCCAGTGGCTTAGAGGCGGAGGCAGGAGGATTGCAAGTTTAAAGCCAGCCTCAGCAATTTAGAAAATCTTAAGACAACACTAAGGTGATTGAAATAGATATACAAACGTATAACAGTTTATTTTCTTGTCTCTTGATTCTTTTTTATTTTTATTTTTGGCCAGAAAACACAAATAACACACTAACCTTTGTCACTCTGAGTGGGGAACTAAAGGCCAGAAGAGCAGAGGATGGTATCATCCTGGATTTTCCTCTTTATCCGACCTACCCACAGGTCAGCTTTTTTTAATTATGACACAAAATATGTATAACCAACAGCTTGTCTATTTTACAATGATTTTATGTTTTGTTTTTTTTTCCACTTTTAGGACTTCCATGAAGTAGAGGACCTGATAAAGGTTGGTGAAAAGAATCAAATCTGAGCCTATGTGATTCATTCATTTATTATCATTTGAACACACAGATTTGATATGATTTGATCCTGAAAGATAGTCCTCTACCAGTATAAATGTTCTAATGGAATCTTAGCTGAATAGTGCTTGGTAATTTCAGGTTTGAATTTTAATATTCTATCTGTTTGGTGAGAAAGTTGACTACTTATTTATCTATTTTACTTTTGTCTGTGTTAGGGCTGGGGCTGGAGCTCAGTGGTAGAGCACTTAGAGCACTTGCCGCGCATGTGCAAGGCCCTGGGCTTCATCCCCAGCATTAGCTTCCAGGATGAGAGAAAGACTTGTAGGGCAGACTGAGAGAAAGACCTGAAGGAGGTGCAAGAAAGAGAGTAGGACATCTTCAGGAGATGTTAAGTGTCTGGGAGAACACAAACCTTTAGACAAAGAGGGGATGTGGAATTTCTATCCTTTTCTAGCTAGAAAGATAGAAATGGGCCTGAGGCATGGCCACAGAAGTTCAGATATGAGAGTTGGGATTTCTGACAGAAATGGCCATTCCAAGAAATCCATACAAACAACAATGGAAGCTGCCTGACAGTTGTTAGTATCTCCAGTATTTGTGGAAGAGAGACTGAGGAGGGAGGGTGTGCTTTGGTGGAGACCAGGAAAGTGTGGGTGCTTCCAGAGAAGACAAGACACAGCCTGGCCCCCTCATGGATCTTCCATGAGCATGTGTCAAATGATAATAGTAATAACAACAACAACAATATAATAATAGTGTTTTTGAGAGTCTCCTCTGTGCAATACCACGACTAAGTGTTTCACTTGCATTGTTTCATATAATTCTGAATATTATCTTGTGAGGTAGACACTACAATTATCCTACAGTTCTGGGGCCAGAGCAGCCCCAGATGCCCAGGTGCTTAGTGTGCAGGGAAGTAAATGATTCTGTTAAATGGTCTATTGTGGGTTCCATTGGATGTTTCTCAGTGAATTTTCAACTAGAGCATTTATAATATCTTTAGTGTTTTGTTTCATCTAAGTTTTCAAAGAGTATAATTGAGTATCATGGATTCTGATTTTATACCCAGCTTCACCCATGGCTTGAGTTTCAGGAGATAGATAAGCCAAATTTATAAATTAATTGCTTTATTCACATTGGTGAGAACCTGGAAAATATTCATCATGGTCGACCTTGTTCACGAAAGAAAAAACTTCACCTGGTCTCTCTAAGCCTCAGAATCAGCATTTGTAAAATAGGATAATAAAGGTCCATTTATCATGAGTGTGTTAATTTGTGTTCCTTCCTAGAAATTGAAATTCAGATTCCCAGCTGAGAAATAAACTTTTAAATCAATGTGTGAATTCAGGCGGAGAAGGGCAGTTTGACTGAGGGTAGAGAGCAGATGGGATCTGGCTGTCAGAGTTCCCGTTTCTTTGGGAAGGGCCATTGGTCAATCCATAGGGTTTCTACCTCTTTGTGCCATTGAGGTATAAAGCCCAAGTACCACCCAAGGCAGAGGGAGTCTTGGCTGTGGGAGCTTGAGCATCTCAGTCCTAGAGAAACCAAAGCCACCTAAGGATGGCCATAGACAGTTATGTAATCATCTGCTTCACCTGGAGGCTGGGGTGGTCCCAAAAGGATGACTTTTGGAGAGGAAATTGTCCCCTCATAACCTCCCTCAGCACCAAGCCATTTCCAAACAAACAAATAATGTTCTTGGGTTTGAGCAAGGTTAAGTGTAGTCTTAGGTAGAGTGAACTCAGGTATCTTGAGAAAATGTTGTGTGACTGATCTGTACCATACCACCCAAGTGTAAGTGGTGTGCCTTCTGAGCAGAGCAGCACAAGACAAGTTCCCTAATCTCCACTTGAGTTCTAACATGTGGAATGTTCTAGTTGTTGCTGCAGGTACTCTACATATGTTATTTATGTGCTGCTCACAAGAACAATTCCAAGAGATGAGAATGAAGCTCCTATCAGTTAAGAGTTGGGTTCAGAGCTTTAACTCCAGGGTCACTCAGATCTGGATCAGGATGGGTGTGCCCGTGAGAGAGAAACTCCAGGCTCTCTGAGTCTCCTCTGTGGGGAAGATACCCATTGAAAGGAGTTTGTGCCTTCAGGCATGTGGTAACCACTCGTGGGCCTTGCCTACTTTGAGGCTGGCAGAGAGTGAGCTAAGTGGCTCCTGAGAGGCCCTTTGGGTAGCTAGGAAACTGGACATCTTTGAACAATGCTTTAAGCCCCCAAAGTGAGCTAATGCACTTGGAGACTGAAGAACATGGGGTTGCCTAGCTCACAACAGATGCTCAATGAAAGGTCGTTCCCCATTGAGGTGATCAAGAACTTGACTGCAGATGTGCTCCTGAGGAGTTTTTGGTCCATGTCTACAGATGGCCATAGGCAACACACTGGTCCAGGATATCCGCTATTCTCCAGATACCCGGAAACTCCTTGTCCGGCTCAGTGATTCTTATGACAGGTAAATGTGATCGTTAGCTGTGTCGGCACTATGAGGAGGGCTGAGCACCTGCTGGCTTGGTCTGTCTGTCAAAACCACCACTCTTGTGTCCTGTCAAACCACCACTCTTGTGACCAGGTTCTTTCTAGAGAGAGACTACCACTGGCCCTTCCGTCCTCTCCTGCTGAGCTGTCTGGGCAAGCTACATTCTGTGTAGTGGGGAGGTCTGTGAAATGGGTTTTCCCTAATCCATCCTTTTATGAACAAGGTCATTTCTGGAGACTCTGAAAGTGAATACGGAGAACCTGCTGCAAGTTGAAAACACAGGGAAGGTGCGAGGACTCATTCTTACCCTAAAAGGAGAGGCTGGCGGGCAGACCCAAGCATTTGATTTTTACTCCAGATATTTTGCACCATGGGTTGGTGTGGCTGAAGATCCTGTAACAGGTACTTTTTCCTTAAGTCCAGGGGAGGGTTAAACATGAAACAGGAGGACACATGTAGCTATTTAAGTGTCCTTCATGTCACCTTTCAGGTTTCCTTGGTTCTGAGCTTCTTTTTTAAAATGTTTTTTTAGTTGTTGACACACCTTTATTTTATTTATGTATATTTGATGTCGAGAATCGAACCCAGTGCTTCACACATGCCAGGCAAAGTGCACTACCGCTAAGCCCCAGCCCCAGTCCCTGAGCTGCCTTTTTTAAATTAGTTGCTCATGACAATACAATGATCTTGACATATCATACATTTGAATCAAATGGGGTATAATTTCTCATTTTTCCAAGTGTACAGGTTGCAGAATCACATTGGTTGTACAGCCACGTTTATACATAACAGCAATACTAGTGTCTATTTTATTCTTCCTATCCCCCCTTCCCTTCCCCTCCCCTCCCATCACCTCTCTCTACCCAATCTAAGAAGAGAGGTGGGAGGGAATGGGAGGGAGAAGGGGAAATTGCACGGAAGATGGAAGGAGACCCTCGTGGTTATACTAAATACATGTATGATGATGTGAGGGAAAAAAAAAAAAAGAAATGTGTCTCTGAGCTGCTTTTGTTTCTCTCTTTCTCCTTGCCCCTCCATCCTCTCACTGAAATCTCATGTGACAAACACACTATAAAGGAGATATTACAGGGTCCAACTGTGGTGACAACAGCCTGGGTTTGCATGGCTAGCTTCCTGTTTCTTGACCTTGGGCAGGTAACAACATTTTAGATATCTCAGTTTCCTCCTCTATAAAATGTGGATGATACTTCCCATGATTATGTAAACATGATGCATATTCAGTGCTTAGTACAGTGCCTGGCACACGGTCAGTATGCAACAACTACTGTTTTCATAACCAGAAACTGGATCTCCTGAGCCAATATCTCCAGGTATCCCACTAGCCTGATGCAAAGGGATGAAATCCGAGATGGGTAGGAATGTCAAACCTCTTTCTTTCTACTGGAGATTGAACCCAGGGTCACTGAACTACTTACCAGCCCTTTTCATTTCTTTTTAAAATTTTGAGACAAGGTCTCATTAAGTTGCTGAGGGCCTTGATAAATTGCCCAGGCTGGGCTCAAATTTGCAATCCTCCTATCTCAGCCTCCTGAGTTGCTGGGATTACAGGCATATGCCACCACACCCAGGCTGTGTCCCATTTCCATCCTCTTTAAGAATAGTAGGCTGAGCAGCAAGGGTGGGGATGCTTGATGGAGCAGGTTTCTAGGTGGGATGAGGCTGGAGGAGGCTGGGTAGAGACTTTGAGGCTCCCATTCTGGTCAGATGGTAAAGACCAGGCTGGTTCAGGACTTTGACTGAGTTACTCTCTGAGGAACAAAACATGTGAAATTCAAAGCTCAGCAAACAAGCACTTTTGAAGACTCAGGAAAATGCCCAATAACATTGAAATAGTCCAATGTAACCTCTCCCCATGGAAGAGAATTTCTGAGAAGATTTCCACATGCACAGCTGCTTGATTTTAATTGGCACAAAGAACACTTCCCTCATTATGTTTTTTTTTCCTAGAGTGGGAAGGTTTTTAGATCATGATGACCAAGTTTTGAGGTTTTCTTGGGAACTTAAGGGTTTTTTGGAATGTGGAACTTCCAGTGCTAAAGCAGGTTAATCTTGGGCAAACCAGGACAGTCGGTCTCCCTACTTATATTCCCTAACAGTAAGTTTTCCTGAAGCAGGGAACATTTCATTCTTTTCTCCTCCAAAGACTTTTCTGTTAGTGATGACTTCACATTTTGTTTCTTCATTTTTATATCCAATCTCTGATCTTTTGAAAAAAAAATATTTGACTCTAAAGCCCAAGAATATTTCTTTTGACCTCCAAAGCCCAAGAATATTTGCTTAGAGAAAAAAAATTGGCTTTTTGGTCAGAACTCCCCACTTTCCTTGAATATGTACTCTATGAGGAAGAAGATACTTTCCTGGAAAGATGTAGAAATATTTATGTAAAGGCCTGGTTTTCCTACCAAGAGCTGATAGTAAACTGATAGATAAGAATTAAAACCAGCAGTCAGGAGTGATGGCACATACCTGTAACTTCAGTGACTCAGGAAGCTAAGACAGGGG